ATATTAAAAAAGCAAGTGTGCTCAACCCCTAATTTGTATATACTACTCAGCATGCATACTTGTCTTATTGTGTCTTCTGCTTCAGCCATCCATGATTTTCTCCTTTTCAGCCTCTGACCCTTACCTGCAGCCAAAGCTTCAAAAAGAGGGTGTCCTTTGCCTGCAGCTACTCTGAGGTATGACTTAGCCTGCAGCACCTTTAGTCTGCAATAGTTGGCAATGCAAGGATCTATCGCATGCACACAATCGGGGTGTCTCTTGTACATCCTAAGATCACCCGCATAGCTTCATTTTGTATGCACTCCAGTTTCGATGACTCTTTGAGACAGTGAGTAACCCCAATCAATAATTAATTACTGAGATGATTAAGTGCTGGTGAAGTGTAGATAGCATTCTCTGCTCCATGTCCATTGCTGCCCTAATCTTTAGTGCATTTAAACCTTTTTGAGCCCTTGTCATCACCTCTTCTATGTGATCCTTGAAAGACAATCTTCTGTTAAAGGTGATTCCTAGGTATCACAGTCTGCTGTCTCTTTTGATGTCCCTGCCATTTATTTTGACTCCGGGAACATCAGCTCTAAAAATCCTGTTGTCCAAAGAACACCACAGGACTGTTGCGCCTTTTCTGGGTTAATTATAGCACTCATCTCTGTACACCAGTCGGTCCTTATCTAATGTTGCCTGTAATTCTTAAGCTAACTGATTACGACAACTTCCCTTCCTATATACGAGAACATCATCTGCAAATGTCAATATTCTGCCGACTCTGGGTGTTTCTAGGTCCGCAATCTTGGTCATAAAAACGTTGAACAGAACAGGTGAAATTGCAGATCCCTGTGGCAGTCCTGGAGCTATAATACAAGATTCAGAGGTCCATGAACCCAGGCAGAGAGCTGCCCGATGAGTATACAAAACATCTGCTATCCAGTTCCCTATAATAATGACACTGTAATAATTCAAGTAACCAACTCTAATATACTTTAATCCCAGATGCTCCACTTTTCATCAGACTCTCCAGGCTCCAGCTCTCCTATTTCTATGCCTTTTCTCTCTCCATTTCCCCATCTTCTCCTCTTTCGACTCTCTGTTGCCATCTGAAGATGGTGTCAAGCACAGAGCATGTACTCCATATGTCCAGCGATGACTGTTTTGATTATAAAGTAAAAATCCTTAGAAAATGAGTTCAAAATATGTTTAGAAGTATTGGGTATGGTATCAGGCATTGTTCAACACTGACTGCTGATAGAGCTAAAAGAGCTGCACTGTTTTTATACTTGTATAGTGCTTTAATGTTGCTGTTGAAATTTAGATACCAAACTCAATCTGATGATTTTGTTAGCTCGTTAAGTTTTTTGACTGTTGTTTGTGTTCACGGGCTGTAAACTCTGGCAGAAAGTACTGGTTTATCATCCATTTTTGGACTACGGCTTTGTTCCAGGACTACAGTTTTGCATGAGCATCTGTTTTACAAACTTACCCAGTCTGTTGTTTTCTTGTCTATCAGGCAGATGCACTCTGACTTTGATGAAAAAGTCAAGTCTATCTCTACGATTTATTAGCTCTTAAGTACTCTCTCTAATGCCAGCCGACACAGATTTATTGCAAGAATATTTTTCATCCTATGAAATGCAGAGTTTCCTTAAGCTTTTCTACATTTCACTACTTTAATACATCCTCCTTTTGCTTATATCTTCCTTTTGAAATACATACCATGTGGTATGGGACACAATATCTTTCCACACCTTTCTCTCAATTGCTCTGCCGTTTCTGGAAAAGATGGCAATCTATGCCACAATGTCAGACTGTCTTCTTCCTCTTAACAATTCTTTTTCTTCTTCTTCTGCCTTTCTATCCCCTAATGGAGCACAGGCCCTCAACCAACTCACGCCAAGTCGTTCTATCCTTCGCCATTACATGGAGCTCTGCTCATGTCCTCCCCATCTTTCTAAATTCATTCCCCAGCTCTCTTCTCCATGTGTTTTTTGGCCTTCCTTTATTTCTTTACCCCTGTGGGTTCCAATGCAAAGACATTCTAGTTATGCTGTTCTCCTGTTTTCTCAGTGTGTGCCCTATCCAACGCCAGCATCTTTTCCTCACTTCTTGGTCCACTGGAGCCTGTTTAGTTCTCTCCCAAAGCTCTACATTAGTTATTCTATCATACCATTTAACTCCCTCAATTCTGCGCAGGCACCAGTTAATGAATGTCTGTAATTTATTAGAATTTGCCTTAATTGTTCTCCATGTTTCTACCCCATACAAAAGTACTGATTTGACATTAGAATTGAAAATGTTTAGTTTATTATTTCTTTTAATTTCTTTTGCCTCCACAAATTCTCTAGTGCTATGAAAGCTCCTCTTGCCTTTTGTATTTTTATTTTAATATCTCTATTAGTTCCTCCATCTTTATCTACATTACTGCCCAAATAGGTGTACGACTCCACGTCTTGGAGTGGGGTGCCATTAAGAGAAACCACAATTACCAGCTGTAAACTCTGGTGAAAGTTCAGGTTCTTCAGCTACTTGTTTGAGAACTTGAGTTTTGCATGCACATCTATTTTACGGATCTAGCTTATTTCTATGCAGGTGTTTTTGAAGGAAACACCCCTAAATAGAAACCTTTCACGACCTCACTGTTAGAGGTGCAATGGATCTATTCTACCCACTCCCCCTTTCCATGCAGCCATGGAACACACAGTGGCATGTCAAACTATCTGGAATCGTCTTTCTTGGGTTTTTCCTGACTCTTCCGTTTAACTTTCATTGTGTAATGACATACTCTAGTTTTTGTCCTTCACATGACATGGTCAAAGAATGTAGATTCTCTACTTCTGATTTTGGTAACCAGTTCTTTGTGTGAGCTCATTTCTTTCAATATATTATCGTTGCAAGTTTTATCTGTCCAAAGTGTTCTCATCACACCATTCTATAAAATCACACCCCTGCAGCTTCCACACAAATTCTAACTAATCTACTGGCTGACTATGATTCTCTTCCAAAAAACATGACTGACATTGTATTATAGCTCTTTAAAACTCTTATTCTCATCTTGATAAGCATATATTTCTTCTTCTTCAGCATTCCGAGCCCTTGAGGTTCATTGCTGCAGACATCACCCACCTCCATTCATCTCTTTGGTTGGCCTTCTCTTTCCAGTTGGTGACACCAAGTGTTTGCAGGTCTGTCTGGATATTATCTCTCCATCGTCTTCTTGGTCTTCCTCATAGTCTACAACCATTCATCTTCCAGGTGTATACAGTTTTTACTTCTCTGTCATCTGACATTATTTCAATATGTCCCAGCCATTTAAGTCTATTAGCTCTCATGATGCCAGTGATCAGTGGTGATTTAAACAGATTATGATTTCTTTGTTGCTTCTCACTCTCTATTCACCGCTGTTTGCATCTTTGAGGGTCCAAAGATTCATCGTAAGACTGTTTTCAAACACCTGTAATAAGGCTTCATCTCTTTTAGTTGTGCTCCAAGTTTCAGAATGGGCTCGGAATGCTAAAGAAGAAGAAGAAGAAGAATGTCAAATGGTTTGGACATTTATCAAGATTACTACCAGTGAGTGCATCACAGAAAGCCCTATCACTTAGACATAATGGAAGTAGAACCAGAGGTTGACCATGCAACCAAACAGATGGAAATATCCGAAGCCGTAAATAAGAGCACCTACATAGCACCTACAAAGGCTCTCAAGTAGTAGTAGTATGTCATTTCAATGGAACCCTCAGGAGAAAGACACAGGGGTAGACCTAAAAATACGGAGACCACAATAAGAGACCCAGCTAGAAATAGCTAAATAAGCTGAAATATCCAAGAATAATCTAAAATGTTCACCCATTTACTCTTATCCAGCTATTTCTAACCAGCTTTAAACTATTAACATTTTAAAAGAGATATTCAGTAGTCATTTTAATCATTATTATAATAATGATCCTCCAGTGGAACGTAGACCCTCAATCAGCTCTGTCAAGTTGCCCTTTCCTTTGCCACCATGTGCAGCTTACTATATGCCCCAACCCCCACTAATCATTTTGTTTTCGGCTCATTCTCTTTTCTTCTTCTTGTTACACTTCTTCTTCTTCTTCTTCTTCTTCACATTCACTGACTGTAAAGACTGGCGGAAAGCTCTGACTGTTCATCCATTTTGGACCCTAGGCTTTTTTCAGCACCTGAGTTAGAATACTGGTTCCTTGCCTCTTAGGCAGATGCACTCCGACTTCGAAGGAAACCACCAAGTAATCGATTCTTACCACATGCTTGTTGGGGAGGCAATGTGTCTATTCTGGTTTTCCACACAGTGGGGCCCCGCAGGTTTTGCAGTTTTTTTTTGGGTTTTGTTTTGTAACAATAATGATGATCAAGACAAGATGGATGTCATTGTAGGTTTATGTCATCTGAAGAGACATGCCAGAGAAGACTGAGGCCACCAGGAAGAATGAGGATACTGAGGTCAGAACTTTACGATCAGAGCTACTGTTTAGAATTTAGGCTCATAATATTGTCAAAATCGACCAAAAAAATGGTCTATTGCCAGGTCGCACTGCCACATCGCATGCAGCAGCTGAACTAAAACCGGAAACCTGTTTGTATGAAATGTCGAAATTATGAAACTGAGCTCATTACCCCTGACACCCCTGGTGACGACAGAGATGGTCGTTTGCTTGACATCAGACGATGGCCCACAATTGCAAATAACGTCAATTTCTCAAATGCACACACCCCCCCCCCCCCCCCCCCCACCCCCTCCAAATGCACAACAAAACAAGCACACACCAAACTGCACAACATTTGACCCAGCGTAGCACACGCACCATCGACACAGCTTGACATTGGTAAAGATCTCTCTGTCAATTTTGGAACACCCCTGAGATATTAGACTGTTCTGTGACCTTTCACTTAGGGGGATTTAGAAGACAAGAACCGATAATTTTTTTGTCCATCTGTTTTATGTTGTAGAGCAGGTACAACTACATCTTCACAACTTATAATCTTACTTGTGAATATCCTCAATGAATTCTGAAACACCAAACATCATGCCAGAACGCTCTGTTACAACAGGCAAGAGATGGGCTAAGAATACTGCATCTTCACTGATCAATACTGTTTGAAACCAGATTCTGAAGAAAAAAATAATGTAACACAAAAATGCACATCTAAATATTTTAGGATACAAGACAGCCTGTGTCCAGTTCATTTACATGAGACACAATTTTTACATATGATATTTGTTAACAGTGAATCGCAACATTTCTTCCACCTCAACCTGCTACTTAAAAACTATAAAAATACTGCCCTGCCACAATTTCAGTGTCAAAGAAATTGTAATATAATTGGGGTGTGCATCATAGAAATGTGCAGTAGTCATTGTTTGTGGCTGACTTGAATGTAGTAATTCTGTCCAGTGAAATATTTTGTTGTTGTTGTTCATCCATCAACATGTAATGGTGACCACTCTTTATTTTATCCATCATGAAACTACAGCAGACTGTGAGTCTGGAGATGACTTATAAGCCCAATTTGAGCCCAGAAGAATTTAGGGCAATGGGGGCATGGAACAGTGTTTTAAGTTAAAGGGCATGTTATAAGGGTCTTTCTAGCCTGTCTTCGCTGTTCAACTGCTTTTTTTCTAGATGCCTCAGTGTGCCTCTTTAGAATGAAATTTGCCATTCAGTCCGGTCTAGTGCAGCAGCCTCCCAGGTATCAGGGTTTATATTAAACACTTTTAATAAGCGATGTCTTTAGCATGTCCTTGGGACATTTTTATTGGCCCCCATGACAGCGTCTACCTTCTTGTATATTGATGGTGATCTGCCCATCAAATCTTTGTCTGCATCAGGATGGTATCAATGTTGGGAATGCCAACTCTATCAAATAAGACAGTATCCAGGACCGTGTCTTCCCACTTGATGTTAAGTATCTTGGTCAGACAGACTGTATGAAAGTGGATGAGCTTCTTTGCATGATATCTGCATGCAGTTCAAGTTTCACAAGCATACAGCATACAGCAGTGAAATACATAGAAAACAGTATAGCACATAGTCTTAAGGCATGGCAACTGCCTCGAGTGCTGGAGGTCCCGGTCAAGGCTAGGATTTTTTCTAGTAATTTCTTCTGGTCTCTGGATATTAAGATTGGATGCCTGTGTGTATTGTTGTGCACGTAAAGACTCCTATAGCAGTTAGAAATCCCTGACAAAATTTGGAGTTAAAATCTACCCAAAGTATTTCAGGATTCTTGCTGGTGCTACAGAGTTTATGCACTGCGCTGAGATTCCTTGGACTCATGCTTGAATTAGAAGTAGAAGGGAGCACTTATGGGGTACTACCCTTGTTCCATGATGTTGGTCCACAGTTAAAACCTAAAACCTCATTTTTTACTCTAAATATGGGGCAGCTATAAATATAAATCAGGTGTTAATCCACAGTGAGAAATTATTATTATAAAAGTGAGCAGAAGTACACAAAATTTGATGACCTGATAAGCCAAACTGCAAATGTGTGTCTGTGGATCTAAAGGTCATGGGTTTGAATCCAAAGGGAGCTAGAGACTTTAAAAAAAAATTACTCTAGCTTCTAGGTTGACCCAGCCTTGAGTGGGTACCAAGTAAAGTTCCAGGAAGTAAAGGTGGTCAATGCGATATTGATCACATTACCCACTTAAAGCTGATTGGTCTATAAAATAAAGGTCTAGCACTAGATGCCAAATACATGGAAAAGAGTCCTCAACTTTACTATATAATAACATACATACACAGAGAGAAAGAAAGTGAGAGAGTGATAGAAATAGGAAAGGAACACATCTGCAGACATGCATTAAACATACACATGTATAGTTTACTCAGTGATAAACATCACATAACTGGTGGTGGTTAAAACATACAAATTAGCACACAATATTTGAGAAAACAGCTTGAAGAATTCATCATTTTATTGTAACCTTTTTTTTTTAAAGATTACGTTTTACCATTTATGGACAAAGCTGAGAGTGGAGAATCTGGTCTTAAAAGGAAAAAGTAATAATCATATTTACAATGTCATCAATGACTGAATCCTGAGAAGTTTGTACTAGACAATGTGATGTTCAATGTGTTAGTTTTTTTCTTTTGGTTAGCTGACATACAAGTGATTAACTCTTTGAGTCCCAAGGAACGTATCATACGCTCATAGGTTCATACCTAGAAGACCAATGAACGCATGATGCGCCAATTTTATGACTCTCTTTATTACCCACTGGGCCTGTGATGCTAAACCTTTCGGGACTCAAAGAGTTAAATGCTTTCATCATTTGTTTAAGAAAAAGAGATAAAAGTATCCTAAACAACCATTACTTTTAGAAACAAGAACTTTGAAAACATGGGTCCTTACGTTATGGTGAACAGGCCCCATGAATACTTCAAACATGAATAACAATAGATAATACCTTAAACTTTTAATAACACAGAAAATGTTGCCTTTAGAACAAGACAGCTAGCATTTACTGGTCAAATGTTGCATTAATATCACTAAATCCCTAAACTAAGATCAAATAAGAACAGTAACATCAGAAAAGCACACCACTCAACACAGTAATGAAGACCACTTGTCATCAACACATCACTTGAATTACTGAATGACATACATGCACAACAACAATCTAAGATAGTAGCCACAGTTTAAAAAAAAAAAAAAACCATCCTAATGCAATACCAACAAATGCACCCCAGGATAGGAAAAATATTAGTGGAAGTTTTGTATTTTGCTTGTGACATTATCCTGCTTCCTGATTCACATGCAACTGTGGGAAGTTAACCCACTGACTACCCATCTCGTTAACCTTTGCCCACATACCACTTAGTGCCTACTAAAAATGTAATAATTTCACAACTGTTTAACATAAACTTACTTTTTTTAAATAATAACTTTAGCAACCTACTGAATGAAGAACACATTTCAAGAACAAACACTGTGAAATCTTGTTTAACATCATCTATCATGGCTATAGATTGGTGCCACACAAAAAAGAAAGCAACTGACAATGTTTATTTTTCTCACAGCAATACAAACAGAAGTTCCATAGCTTCACAATCATTTAATAAAGACTAATAATATTTTGCACTTCTGCACAAAATTGAATGGAGAAAAATCTCCAAGAATAAAAAAAATAATTTGTAAGCTTGTTGTATCATCCTATTGTGCCTGTAAGATTGGTGCAAAACAGGCAACTGTATATTAATTGAGGGGGGGGGGGGGGGGCAGCAATACAGACAAAAATTCTGCAACTTCACAGATAATCTCATAATATTTTGTTGTATATCATCCTCATGCGGCCGTACATGGTGCAAAAAGGGCAATTAAAATATCTTTTATTTGACACAATTTAAATTTTTTTTTTCTGAAATAATCCTGGATGAGAGCTCTGATTAACTGTTAAATAAAATTATGCAAATTGAGGAGCTATTTGCTATTTTGCACCAAGAAATTATGATGTATGACTAAATTTTCAAACTAAAAAAAAATTACAAAAATGATATTTGACCAAAAATGCACGTCGCGGGAATCCCAGCCCGGTAAATGTCAAGGACTGCATTGTGAAACAATGTTCACTAAACGTTAAGCTAGAGAGCTGTTACTTACACAATCTAAACTAACAGACATATCTAACGATACACACCTGAAGCACATACATGAAACAGTTTACACAAACAAATGTAACATAACACACCAACTTCCAACTGCCATGCCACTGCTATAAGCGAAGTCACAGTGATCAAACTTGTCAGAAATATCTTCTTCTTAACTTTCCAATTTTCAACAAGCAAGAAAATATCCCATTGCAACATAAATATTCCCCAAACTGTTCCACAATGCCCACTCTAACAATCTGCAATAATTATCAAAACATCCACCTAATACATCATCGATGTGGGAGCTCATGCTAGAAAACATTGTGGAAAATTTACTTTAAGCACTTCCAAACTGGTTTCCTTAAAGAAACACACAGAAATCAATGGACTAACGGCTTCGCTATATTTATCACAAAAGCTGCAATTTTAATATGGCTGTGAGCATCCAAAGTTACGATTGAGGGGGTGCGGTAATGGTAGCCAGGCGTATGAGTGAGTGAGTGAGTGAGTGAGTGAGTGAGTGAGAGAGAGAGAGAGAGAGAGAGAGAGAGAGAGAGAGAGAGAGAGAGAGAGAGAGAGAGAGAGAGAGAGAGAGAGAGAGAGAGAGAGAGAGAGAGAGAGAGAGAGAGAGAGAGAGAGAGAGAGAGAAATTATGCTAGTCTTGTTCTTCAGTAATTTGAACATTATGTCATGCAACACAAATTTACCTGAGAAGTATAGGAACAAGCTGGCAACAAACCATAACTCTGCTGCTGTTCATAGAATCTCTCAACAATAAGTGTAGCTGGGCCAACCTGAATAACAGTAGACAAGTAATAAGCGAATTAGTAACTGTTCATCATTAGTCAATAGTCAAGGTTCCAATATCACTGCAGGTGGGTCACCCCATAACTGCTGTGTTCCTGTGCCAGTGGAAATCATGCTAAATGTTCTTCAATGTACCATTCGAAAACTAGTGAAAAACTTGTTACTCCCAGCAAAATCTTGAAGCTTTCAAACAAAAAAGTACGCACTATTTTGAATGTGACTGACCCTGCGCTATTTCAGTGCAGTCAACAAGACAGTATGGGCACAACAGAAAACATAAGCTACATGAATTTACAATTTAGCGTCACATCTGTTGTGAAGTGCATTTAGCAATTACAGAATTTTCACTTTCATTCTTTGTAAGACAGAAGAAACCTAGCATATCCTTTTAACTGAAGACCCAATCAGGTAGCTTGGCACAGTTCGAAAGTCTTACATCCTGAGAACAGGTGACACCAATGCCAGATTCAGCACACTGTCCTCACCCTATGATCACTGGGCCTTCCTGGTAGTTCTTCCATCAGTGAGGCAGACAGTCCATGCCCACCATGGCATCTAAGTCCCCACGCTTGTTTGTGGAGATGTCTATTAAGTCTTTTGGAGTTTTTTTGCCTGCTTTTTCTTCAGCTCAGTATTAGATGTAAGTAAGCATTGTAGCATCCTTTCATGAGACCACCCTGCAGTTTGAAAGTATTATATAGTATTCTACTATTTTCATTCTTAGCTACCTGTTCTCCTTCTGTCAACATTTGCTCTCTTATCTCACCTTGCATAATTTTTACATTCTGTTCTGTATTTATTGATCTTTATTTTGTATGTTACGAGTGTCATTTGGCCACATCTGCCTGGCATGTTTTTTTCTTACGAACTGCCTCTTCACATTTTTTATTGGACAATTTGTTCTTTCTGTTTTTGGTAAACACACCAAGACATTTTTCTCCTGTGGTTTGAATTATATTAATATCCATCCAGGTTTGGTCAGCATCTACCTCTGACAGATTTTGTAAAATTTCAGTTTTATGTTTTAATTCTTCTGTAAATATGGATGTTTCTTGTAATCTTTCTCTATTGTACTCTGGATGTGATCTTTGCAACTTCGTGTAGAAGGATCTCTTAAGCTTGATTTTTAATTTTGTACCAACCAGGTAGTGATCATTATGACACTCAGTTCCTCTGTAGCTTCTAACTAGTATGTTCGATGCATTTCTATTATTTATTAAAATGTGATCTATTTGATTATAAATTATCTTGTCACATGATTGCCATTTTTGTTTATGTATATCTTTTCTTTGAAATCTGGTGCTGCTTATCTGTAGTCCTTTGGCTTCTCCAAGGTTGATTACCCTCCATCCACTATCACTTGAAACTGTATGGAGACTTTCCATGCCTGCTACATTTTTATAGGTGTTCTCTCTTCCTATTTTTTGCACCGTCCCAATTTTGAGTTTACTCTGTGTTATTCTCAAAGCGTTCATATAAATTTTCTTTAATATCATCTTCTTTATCTTCAGTGGGTTCAAGTACATTAATCATCGTGATATTTTTCCATTTTCCTTTTATTCGTAACTTACTGATCCTATCAACAACTTCAAAATTTATAATACTTTACCACAACATTTTCTTGATGACAAATCCTGCCCCTAGTTCATGTTTGTTTTGAGCGTTTCCTTCATATACTATATTCCATTTTCCTCTATAATACCTTGTCCTGGCCATCTTATTTCTTGAATCCCTGTTTATAGCCATTCTGTATTCTGATAACATGGGGGACAGGAAAGGTCTACAAAGGTCGAAGGGAAGAGAACAGACAAAGCAAGACACCCTGTCCTTGAGGTTGAGGGTTGAAGCGTGGGGCCGACTCCCACCTTCGTAAAACTTAATGAGTTGAGTTGAGTCAAGAATTGAAATCACATCACTCGGGGCATTCCTATGCATGCTCTGTCCTCATCTTCAGAAGCCAGTGCAGAGTTCCAATACTAATGGTACCAGTCACAGTCTAGTTAAATGTCTGTCTTGCCTTTCCTCTGAGTGTAGTGAGCCGGCCAGGCCCTCTGGTTACACTCTCCAGGCCATAATAATAATCGTTCTCTACTCATTCCATTGCTTGTTCCCAAAGGGAACAATTATACAATGTTACAATTATTGATATAATCAACAAGACTTAATTTCATCACAAAACAGATATCTAAGCCTCTGGGTAAATCTGGTCTCCTAAAATCTGGAGTCTTTACAAAATAATTATGACAAGTGTTCATTATTCATTTAAGATAATCTTCATGGCACATCGGACAATGCATAAGTGCTCCGATCTCCCCCTGAGTATGTCTCCAAGTGTTTTCAGGGTAACAACCCCCATTCTGTTCTGGCTGATGTAGGGATAGATGTCTCCCGCATGATTTTTCTGTCTCAGAGCTCCAATTGGTTACACCCAGGGTACGCAGTCTATTCAGTGAAAAATCATTTTTCACAAAACTTAATGCCTCACAGTGTTTAGTTACTCATATGGCATTAATGATGTCTCTCCTGTCTATAGATGGCCCTTTCCTGATCGTCACACTGCCAGCCAGAGTGCTCTCTCATTGCCTTTCACACCAGCATGACCCGAGACAAAAATGAAGGTGATTTTGGAAAACTGTGCATGCTGTATCAGATGGGGCCACTGTTTTCATATATTCCCCACCTTGATCTTCTGTAGCATGCTCATTGATTCGTTCAGAAAGCATGCATTGGTAAATTCTTGAGTTTTCAGCCGTTCTAGAGCTTTTGTCACAGCTATGACCTCCATTGTCATGCTGCTGGTGGTAGAAGCAAAGGCTCCACTGTCTTATTTGATGATGTTTTCTTAAGTTCTTGCCATGAAAGCCCATGCACTTTACTTCCGAGGAACCACAGAGCCATCTGATATATATATATATATATATAACAGGATCTTCTGGTGATGTGTGTTCCTCCACCAATGCTTTAACTTCTGCATTAACTATTGGTGGTGTCAAATCATGGCATTGTCTTGTCAGTGTGAGAACCACCACAAAGTACTGCATGCATTCCTTTGGTATTGGTATCCACTCCTCTCCACGGTTTATGTCTTGAAAAAAAGAATCATCTATTTTTGGCAAGTACTTTTTTAAATATTACACAAAAATTATATTCTTCTGTTTCTTTTGCAGTCAATCTGATCACATTTACTTCTGTGCATAGTTAGGATGCTCAATCTCTGAAGTCCTGTGTCCTGAATGTAATGGGGGATATTTTCACCTAGATTAGGAAGGTTGGGGGGAAGGCACAAAGCTAACCTAAAACACCAAGATATTCCAGATACTCGGATTAAACGAGAATCTTGAGATAGGTGATAACCATTTGTTATCACGGGTCTCACGATGATGCGACCAAAGGTCGCCACGTGAAAGTAAAGGACCACGTGCTGCCACGTGAAACTAACCCAGATCAGGAAGGTTGGGAGGGAAGGCCCAAAGCTAACCTAAAACACCGAGATATTCCAGATACTCAGATTACATAAGAATCTTAAGATAGGTGATGACCACTAGTTATCATGGGTATCACGATGATGCGACCAAAGGTGGCCACGTGAAAGTAAAGGACCACCATGTGTTGCCACGTGAAACTAACCCATGGTATAAGTCAGACTTGATTCTGGTCAAGTTTAGTTTGTGTCGACCTGTTGGAGCGAGAGGATGTGAGACTGAGTGGAAGAATGTCAACTTAAGATTGCTTGTTGCGAAAGGAGACCCTGACGACAAAGTGTGAAGCCAAGATCGACCAGGCCAGTCTGTGTAATGGCAAGAAGCTCAACTTGAATTATTGAAGCCGACTCTGGTCAGGGAATGCATGAAGAACCTGCATGTTGAAGGCTGCGTGAATTGGTGTGCGAGAGCTGTTCATTAGGACAACGACAGGACTCTTCTGTAAGTTATTACATGCCAATAAACTTATGTTCGTACGGCAAAGTCGGTGTCGGCTTGTACCAGTTATGTAACGTAGAGTGTGTGAGAAGAACATTCACGACACACGCAGCTAAACACCCACTAGACAACGAGAAATATTAACACCACTTATTGCACTTGGCTTTTGTGCCAGCATAGGTATTACAACTGATGAATCTTTGGGGTGAGAAAGTCTTTTCCTCTCCTAATGACCTAATTCTATCTGAATTTCATCATGATTAGATTTACAACTACAAGAAAAAAGTTAGATATTATTTGGGGTGAAAAAGAACATTTTTTTGGGGTCTCAATTTTACTTAATAATGACATCACTTTGCTCTATGTGGCTGTGTCAACAAAAACCCCGTTTTCATCGCCAAAGGGAGGGAAATTTTTCAATTCATTTAAATTTATTAACTACTACTTCACTTCTTAAAAAAAAAAAATCTTTGCACAAATTTATGAATACAAATATTTAAAAAATAATTTTGTTTAAGTGATGTGACTGGCGTTATGTTGCAGTGGCCATCACACTTGCCAGTCTGTTGGTGGTCAAATGTTTCAAACCCTATGGATTTTAATAAAAATTGGCCAAGACTTCAAAGTTCTTCTGCTTTTTTTTTTTGTCCTTTACTTTCTTGCGCAGATTTCAGATAATTATAACTGTGGTGTTATTTTTTTTAAACAAAATTTTGAAAAAGTTTGTGTGTGTGTGGGGGGAAGGGGGGGGGGGGGGGGGGGGGTTTGTTTGTTAATATTTTTATGGGTGAAAGGATTAAACCAGCATATATTGATACCTATTTAAATTTAAAATATACATAATGGAGCAAGGATAGTATAATGTACAAGTCTAGCCGTAAGTAGAGATGACTAATTTATTTTAAGTTTGCAAGAAAAATTTAGAACAATTCCTGCATCCCTTGTCATTTTCAGCAAACAACATGTATGTAAACCCCCCTCCCCCTCCTTTTACGCATCGAGGCGTATGACTTTACTGAAGTATCACTTCTTGCCGTGATCAGTATCACTTATATGAACATCAATACACACTGACTTATGTCAGAAGTATTGTGTCATTTGTAAAACTACTATGCTTGAACCCAGATAACAGGTTTATCTCCCTAGTAATGGCAATAGACATTTGGTGTTCAGTATAGAAACAATCTTTTAGATACTGCTGTACATTATAGAAACAATCTTTTAGATACTGCTGTACATTATAGAAACAATCTTTTAGATACTGCTGTACAGTATCTTCTCACAAAACAAATTCCTAAACATTACACACACACACAAAATCTCGTCCTGACTTGGTGGCTTTTCTCTAAAAAGTTTTGTAAGAAACAAAAATCTTACCCAGTCATTCGTAAATTACAAAAAATATTGTTTTAAATACATAAAGATTTTCTTCTTCTCTATTCCTGTTCTGCCTTTCAGCATCAGGTTTTGAAGAGGCATCGAGTGCAAACCTTGGTATGTGCTACGTAGATGCTGGTAATCATGGCCTTAGATGTTCATAAAGATATATCGAGACTTGAAGATGAGAGTGAATCTTCTAAACAGTATATGTATAAGGTGACGCATGCCATGACCCCCAAACTCCATCAATGAGGATACACGAATATTATGATGACAACTTGGCTTTAACAAAGCTATCTGGTTCATAAGAAAGCTGCCCTAAATGTTTTTAGCAAATGTATTCATATCCTGACCTCTTAAAAGCTGTCTAGATGTGACCACAGCTAATAGCATTAACTATGCGTCTCATAAACATGTCACTCTAGAAAAGTAATTAAAGTGAGGTTTACAGGTATTTAGACCCAACCGGAAGTGTCCGTTTTGCGGCTTCTCAGGGCAACAGGGTTAACTATTTGACATGTGCTGGAAAAGAATGAAACTGCTCTCAGTTCACTGATGTCAAGTGTTTGTCCAAATCATTTCACTGCTTTGAAGCTGGTACTCATAATTTATCTATATGTACATGAGATTTAGTTAAGCTTTCTGTTTGGCAAAAATCATGCACATCTTTATTAATAATAATAAGTACAACCTGTCAATGGTATCCCCGTGGCCACTTTCACTTCTAGTAATGTAGCTGAACAAGGGTCTGAAACGAGGATTGTAAAATGCCTCTAAAGATGATGCAGGTTCAGAGTCAACTTCCACTACAAGAGGTTCTGTCACCTTGGCTCTTTCAATGATCTCAAGTGCTGCACTCATGCAGGGCAAATCCAAAAGTAAGTGAAATATCTGAACAATATAGCATTAGAATTAAAAGTGCTGCCTTGTTATGAATGGCTTTTATCAGAACATCTAAATTACACAATTTCATGTTACACATACCAGTCATTCATTTTATATTTTCTTTTTATTCTAGAGTAATAATTTCCAGACTTCCTTTTATAATTTAAATTATGGAATGAACATGTCTACACAGTCACCTAACATCACAATTGAATTACAAAATAAATTTATGTACTGAGAAAATATTTATTTTATTAAATCAGATCTAAATAAATGGAAGTAAACTCTGTTTCTAAACCTATTTAATTACTTTAAAAAAAAAATGTTAATCTCAATATTACTAAATGCTTAAAATCGTTGCTGAAAAAATTACATACATTTTCAACTTTATAGTAAAATATATAAAACAACTTTTAATTATCACAAAGATTTAATTTACACTAGGAGTGAGAAAACAAAACAGACACATGTGTACACGGCTAATACTGAAGGCAGAAGTAGTTGCTATGAAAGATAATCTCAAATACTTTTACAGCACCAAACTAAAAATAAAAGGGAAATATAATCAACCCTACAAATGTAGTGATGGGAAAGTTGTCACTAACATTTAACTCTTTCAGTCACAGGAAGGTGTCTTTTAAATTTGCTTTATTTTAGGTAAGTAATATATATATATTTTTTTTTTTCTCAATGTTTGTGTCTAAGTAAATTCACACAATTAAACTGAGGGACAAAGGAAGTTGAACTAACTTTCATGATATGTTGGCTTAATGAAACAACTGCATGGGTCACATCAAATTAAGAAAAGCATGTAATATAAAGTGTAACCAGCAAATTTGTGTTGAATTAATAGGTAATGGAGTTAAAGACTCAAGAATGCTTTGAAAAACTTCTAAATAGTTCAGCCCCCAAAAGGTCCTGCAAAAAAAAGTCATTAGGATAGGATCTAGAGATCATCTCTTAGCAACAATCTAAAGAGGAATCAGAAAAATTACTGAGCTACTGGAGGTTGTCAAATTATGATTTCATACAGGTGACTTTAATGACTTCATGTTACATTATCACAATCAAATTGGAAATTTCCATGAGTGCCTAGTCCGATGCAGCAGCCATCCTAAGCTGGAAATTGCAAAGGTTGAGAGAGATAAGTCTATCGCACTCAAAGAAGCAGAAGGCAGGATGGGTGTGGAATCACATTCAAATCTCAGACAGGACCGAAGTGGTGGCTTATACAAGCCAAGGTTGCCTTTTCTAACAGGTAACGACTCTTTACATGATTTTCTTCAACGTTTTCAGGAGACCATGACAGGGGCAGAGATACCGGAGACGCAGTGGGTATCTCGTCTCAGGGACTTACTAACAGGATCGGTGTTGACCAATTTCACCAACCTGTCGCCGGAGGACAGAACGTCGTTTCCGATAGTGCGTCAAAAGTTGCTAGAATCGCAGAATTCAACTGCAGAGGGGTATCGGAAATGTTTTAAAGATACTATTCCATCGACAGAGGTGAGTTTCGGCAGTTTTGTGGCCAGTGTGAGGACGCTTTTTTCCAGATGGACAACGCTCGCTGAGGTAAATGGATCGTATGATCGCCTGGTGGATCTGATAATTCAGGACAAGATACTATCTTGTTGCAGTACGGAGTTGTGTGTATTTTTCCAAGAGAGGAAACCCACCACGGTTGACCAGATGGTGAAACTAGGCGAACAGTACATGAGTGCACATCCAGGAAGAGCACTTCACAGGGAGAAATTCCCTGATGCATTTGCAGCCGCGTCGAGCATGCGAGTAAACCATTCAAGGGGTTCAGATGTCGACTCATGTAGAAAACCCCCAAGAGTTGAGACACATGAGCATGAAAGGTTGCATAGTGAGGATAGATCGAGGCGACCCAACAGATCCGGGTTTGGGCAAAATCAATCACCCAGATATTACAGCAGGTGTAGAGGTTGTGGATATTGTTTGTCCTGGCGCCATGAATCAGATCGTTGCCCAGATCAAGGCAGGAAACAGGACGATGATGGGTACTCAAATCGTGACAGGAGACCAGAACGTAAAGGAAATCTGAAATGTTACTATGTAACGGTTCTCATCTGAAAAGGAATTGTCCAAGATTGTCACCGAGGCAGGGAAATACTGTGCAGGTAATGCAGGTAGGCAGCAACAAAAGTAGAACCACAAGGGAAACAATTAAGGTAAGGGTGCGACCTGAGATCACATACCCTGCTTTGTCTGCTTTGCCGACGGTGGGGGGATTGCCACTGTATTTTGGTTACATTGGAAGGGTGAGGTGCACTGTGCTCCGGGGCGAACATAATCGGGGTTGCAAGACACCTGGTACCCACTTCTGCATATACGGGAAAATATGCAAAGTGCCGCACATTCGGGGGGAACTTAGAAAAGTATCCTTTTGCTATTGTGAAGATTCGTTGTCCCTATTTTACAGGCGTTGCTGAGGTCTGTGTGGTAAATCGTAGCTCTCCGGATATCATTCTGGGTACAGTTCCTGGTGTGAGGTCCTGCACACAGGAGGACATTGAATGCTGGAATCGTGAGAACGATGTAGTTGCTAATGCTGTTACAAGGGCACAACACCAGAAAGATATAACATCAGAGGCAGCAAACAAATTACCAGAGGTAATTCACCCAAAGGCAGTGGTGTTCACGAGTGGTGTGAACGAAGGTGCATCAGTTACAGGTTCAATATCACACTCTGCACAATCATTTGCTGAGGCGCAGCGTACAGATCACACGCTGGATAAATGCTTCAAGAAAACAAGGACGCCTGGTTACAAGATTACCAAAAATGGTAAATGCCAATTTTTTTTGAAGAATGGCTTGTTGATGCGTTATTTCGAATCGGCACAACGTACTTACAAACAACTGGTGGTTCCCAAAACATTCAGGGAAGATGTGCTGAGGACAGCGCATGACACACCCTTCGCAGGTCATTTGGGTATGGGCAAAACACATAGGCGCATTTTATCCCAATTTTACTGGCCCGGCTGTTTCACGGACGTCAAGAAATACTGCAAATCATGTCGTGAATGCCAGATTATGGCGCGAAAAGATTCGGCTCAGCGTGCACCAATCCAGGGGACTTTTTTAACATATCGCCCTTTCGAGAAGGTGGCAATTGACATAGTGGGTCCGCTATCTGTAATGTCTAACAGAGGTTATAGGTACATTCTTACCTTTGTTGATCTTGCGACTCGTTGGCCTGAGGGGATTCCTTTAAAAAACATTACCACAGAGACGGTGGCGGATGCCCTGATGTCAATATTCTCTAGACTGGGTTTTCCTGACACTATTTTATCTGATCATGGTACTCAGTTTATTTCTGAGACGATGCAATCGTCTGACAAGCTGTTGTCAATTGCACATGTATTTTCCGCCAGATTCAACCCACAGGCGAATGGAGTGGTGGAGAATTTTAATGGGCTTTTGAAGGCTATGTTGGCAAAGGTCACCGCTGAGTTTAAAGCCGATTGAGATCGTTATTTACCCACGGTATTGTTTGCCTACAGGGAAGTTCCCCAGGCAAGTACAGGACATTCACCCTTTTGAACTCGTGTATGGTGCGAATCCGAGAGGCCCAATGTCTATCATCAAGGATCTCTGGACAAATCGGGACAAAGAAGGCGTCTCCCAGACATACACACAGTTTGTAACTGAATTACGTCATAAAATTATCACCAGTTGCGAGATCGCCAGAGAAGGTCTGCAGCAGGCGGGATTTCGACAACGCAAGTATGTCAATGAGGGACGTAGGCTTGTTTCTCTTAAGCCTTCTGACGAGGTTCTTCTATTTCTTCAGGACGGATCGAATTGTTTGTTGTCATCGTGGCAAGGTCCATTCCGGGTGGTTCAGAAGATATCTTCAGTTGACTATTTGGTGGATGTGAGAGGACACCTGAAAGTATATCATATCAATATGCTCAAACTGTTTACACCGCGACCTAAATGTCTGGAGGAAATCATTGATATTGCAACGGAGAGAGGCGAGGCTTGGAACACAAATGTACCACTGGAGGCGGGGTTCTGTCATGTGGTCAACGAAACACCAGATAATCCTGAGGAGGAATCCTACTTGCCTATTGTGCTACCTTCCTTGATCCCTAAGGAATCATGGAGGTATGTAGAGATTTCAAGCTCCATGCCTCAGGAACATGCGGGTCGTGTTAGAAAACTTCTTGCATCGTTTTCTACCATTTTCACGGACATTCCGGGAAGGACATCGCAGGCTGTTCACACAATCAAGCTAGTGGATGATCGACCTATCAAATTACGACCATACAATTTGCCATTACACTATGAGAGTTTAGTGGAAAAAGAATTCAGAGAAATGTTGCGTTTGGGTATTATCGAGCCATCTACCTCACCCTATTCTTCCCCTATGGTAATAGTAAGGAAGAAGGATGGAACCATCCGCATATGTATAGACTACCGCAAGCTTAATCGCATTACTGTGATAGATGCAGAGAATATGCCAAACATAGACGATATGTTCCATAGGTTGGCAACAGCAAGGTTCTTCACTAAACTGGATTTGACAAAAGGGTATTGGCAGATCCCGCTGGCGGAGGAGTCCAAACAATTTACGGCTTTTCAGTCCCTTCTAGGTTTATTCTAGTTTAAATATATGAGTTTCGGTCTGACCAATGGTCCGGCCACCTTCACTCGTCTAGTTAGGAAACTGGCTGTCGGTCGTTCCGACTTGATTTATTATTTGGATGACCTTCTACTATTCCATGACAATTTGAATGATCATCTTGCTTCTTTAAAATCTCTTCTTGACAAAATCAGAGAGTTTGGGTTAACGATTCGTCCTTCTAAGGTACAAGTAGCCTTTCAAAAGTTTACTTTTTTGGGCCATGTAGTTGGTAACGGTATTCTTCAACCGGAAGACCACAATGTGGCGAAAATTCTTAACATTCCAACGCCAAAAACTAAGAAAGATGTCCGAGCGCTGCTAGGTCTGTGCAATTTCTATTCGAAATTCATTCTTCATTATTCGTCGGTTACGTCTGTCTTGTCGGAACTGACATGGAAGACGATGCTTCGTTTGGTATACTGGGACTAGGCGTGTGCTAAGGCACTGGACCACATACAAAAGGCATTTAAACAGCATCCATTTTTAAGACTACCGAATCTATCAATGGATTTCTATTTGTCCACAGATGCGTCGAACACAGGGATAGCTGCAGTACTGAGCCAGAGATATGATGGGCAGTTACTACCTTGCTTGTTTGCTAGCAGGAAGCTGACACCAACTGAGACACGTTATAGTGTGTCAGAGAGGGAGGCCCTCGGCGTGTACTGGTCCATTTCCAGATTCAGCAAATACCTGATGGGTAGACATTTTTTTATACTAACCAACCATCAGGCTCTAACGGTAATGAATACGAGTTCCGTTGCCAACGCTCGTATATTACGTTGGGCCATAGCATTACAATCGTTTAATTATACGGTGGTCTACCAAAGTGGACGAGAGAACATTCTGGCTGATTACCTGTCAAGATGTCCTGGTGTTTGAAAATATTGCATTGATTTGTTTAATTTGTTTAGAGCTGACATGACAATGTGATTTCCGGAGCTATGCATATATTTGATTGATAATATTATTGAGGTTATATTGCTGTTGTTGGTAGTTCATAGTTATATCAATATGTGTTATTAGTGTGTGATACACATTCATCGCCATTGGTTGCATAATCGTTTGTGAGTTGACTGGACGAAGACGTTACGATTTTGGATTGTTTTAACAGATGTATTACAATAATCATTAAACTGGAACCCCGGTTCCCAGTTTCTCAGAAAGGGGGGGATAAACTGTTGTGTGCAATCCGAAGATCCACACTACAGACAACCGATAATGAACATGAGGTATGACGAGGACACGACGTCACTTGCTGACATAAATTTTTAGACAGATGACCGTTGCAAGAAATGTGTTAATGGCAGAGGTTGGAAACTAGGCTTAGCTGTATTCTACTTGACGCCACAGTTTGCGGGGAGCTTAGGCTCTGTACTCTGGCTTAGAGGTGAAAGCAGTTCTTCTACATGATGCCGCAGTTTGCGGGAAGCTTAGGCTCATTGCTCTGCCTTGGAGGTAAAAGGAGTTATTCTACCTGATGCCGCAGTTTGCGGGGAGCTCAGGCTCATTGCTCCGGATTGGAGGAAAGTAATTAATTATCTAACTGTCGTTGAATACGGTGACTGTAATGTATGCATTTTATTGACACCATTTATATCTGTGAGGAATTGTTCAATAAACTTCTTGGATTTGCCTGTCAACGACGTGTTTGTAGCAGTTTCAACGGTTGACTTTGTTACGGCGTTTTTCTGCAAATTCTGTTCGCCGTTGGTCTTGGTCATTGGTTACCCCTAGAAATTAGTTTACTTGGAATTTGTACGGCATGGATCCGGGACTACACCTCACGGCTTAATTTATAAACAGAATATCACCCTACAGTAATGGAGACAAATAAGAGACGTACACTTGGTTCATCAGCCGCTAGCTTCATTCTGAATTTTCCTAATTTTTTTCACGTTAAAACACACAAAATTGATTCACACACACGGGGAAGCCATTTTGCAATGTCTAACAAAGCGGACTGACGACGATTGGTTGGTTATTTTTAGTCAGTGACGCATCTTTCTCACGCACTATGCAAATAGCCTAAAATTAGGGCCAGCGGGATAGAGAACAGTTATGAAATTCCAGGAAAACTGGGCCAGCGGTCTGGTAGGGTTAAACCAGATGTTATTTGAAAAGGGTCGACTTTCTGCCTTTATATATTACTATATTACTAGTGTCCTCCGTACATAGTTTGGTCATGGTAATTAACTTCTTTGGTATTCCAAAGCCCTTCACAGCATTCCATAAACTGTTTTTATGTGTACTATCATACCCTTTTTTTAAATCAACAAAAAAATATTATGTACATCTTTTCTATATTCCCAATTTTGTTCTACTAATTGACGTAAGATGAATATCTAATTTATTGTTGATCTGTTCTGTTGAAAACCCGCTTGGTAATCTCCCAATATGTTTTCGACGTATGGTCTTAGCCTGTTTAGCAGTACTGCCGATAGTATCTTTTAGCTTGTAGATAATGGTGATATTTCTCTATAATTTTCACACTTATATTTGTCTCCTTTCTTAAAAATGGGTATTAGTAAAGACATTTCCATTCATGGAGTAATTTCTCCATCTTCCAAACTAGTTTTATTAATTCATATATCTTTACATGTAATGCATGACTACCTTCTTTTAAAAGTTTAGCTGCAATTCCATCAGCATCAGTTATTTTTTTGTTTTTAAGCCGTGTTATGACATACAGTACTTCTTCAAAATCAGGCTCTTCAATATTTGGTTCACATGTTAATATCTCTTCTTGTGGATAGGTATTAAGTGGAGTTTCACAGTTTAACAATTCAGCAAAGTATTCTTTCCATCTGTTACGTATTCCTCATTATTATTTATCATGTTCCTATTGTGATTTTTTAAAACTATAAATGCTCTGTTGATGTCCTTGTTTTACAGTTTTCAGTTCTTTTGAAAAACTTTCTGGATTCGTTGTTCTGATGGTTAGCTTCCACATCCATGACAATGTTATTCATGCATTCTGCCTTTTGGTGCCTAACTACTTCTGTTGCTTTTTTACATTCTGTTTTATATTTTTCTTCATTTCATATGTTTAATTGATTTACTAAATCAAATTATAATTCTGAAGAATTAGATGGGTCTATTAAGTATTCGCACTATAAATCTTATAAGTCATGTGACAAAAATGTTACTGAGGATAATTAAGAAAAGAATAAGAAACAAGATTAAATTTTAAAAAATCCTTCTAATTCCTTGGGCAGATAAAAAGAGCAATCTAGATGCTTTGAAAGGGGTGAGGGCTCAAAGAAAACTTATTAATAGCATCAGAAAGAGACAGTCATAATATTTTGGTCATGTTATGAGAAGAGGAAAACTGGAACATGTGACCACTGGAAAAATCTGTGGAAAGAGAGACTGAAAAAGACAGTACAAGAAGGTTCTTGACAACCTTTTGTCATGGCATAGAGTGGTATCAACACATGAACTGATAAACGCAGTTGTGGATTGCAGATTGTGGACACGCATGATTACCCTTGCCTGTCGGCAAGGCACTTGATGTTGATAAATATTCATTCAGTAGTTAACTTTTTCAGTACTAGGCATAACATAATTTTAACCCCTTCTCTCCAAGATTTTTCTTAACGTTACACATGTCAGGGTCAGTTTGACTGAAAATAATTGTACTTTGAGAAAAAAGCAGTTTAAGTAACAAACGGAACAGTATAGTGTAACAGCGGATGTTAAAGAAGAAAAATGTATAATGTAAGTAGAACTCAGCAAATGCATGGCGAGTTGTTAGTACTAAATTAGATATTACTGTACCATAGTATATATTACTGTAAAGAAAAATAATACTTTTGATGAATTATATGGGTTTATGTGTATTAAAATACTGAGGAAAAGCAAGATGAACATTTGTCAAACTGCTACTGGTGCCACCAGAAGTGGTACTTTTCACTGGCTGCCAAAGATGATGTTGACGCATGTATAGGAATGGCCAGAGTTTGTAAGTGATTCATGGCTCAACTCAACTCATGGAAAAATACAGTAAACATGATACTATATGAACTGTAACATCAAATAATTATGAAAACTTCTATAGTTCATAATAGTATTAATATTATGCTAAATCCTTGATTTATCTTTCAAGCTTCAGATCTTATCTGCCCCTCTCCGGAACTGCCGAGAGTTGGAACTACTGATCTAGAAAGTAAAACAGGACTAGCACACATCTGAACTCACTCACAGATACCAATAAATACTATCAGTCTGATCATCATTATCCTTTCTAAAATGTACAAACAAATGATTTTTCTCATTATTTAAATTTACAAACCTCAATGGATGTGTCCACATTCATCATTGCTGGCAACAAGGTAGCAAACTCATAATGAAACACTCGTGGATGCCATGCAAGAATCTAACATGGAAATATCCCAAATGTGATATATAATCAAATATAAAGTAAGTGCAGTTACAACTGTAAATTTTAATGCAAAACAATTTTTTTTCTCTTTTTGTAAAATTTAAATACTGCAGACAGGTGCATTACTACAGAGTTAAACGAACATACAATGAGATAAAAAAAAATAATGCTTTTCACTTAAATGCGGAAACCATGTTGTCAAGTTACTGTACATCTATCTCCCCACCCGAAATCAAGATCAGCCACATGATTACCATGGTAACTTCAAATTAATCATGTGATCTTTTTTGTTTAAATAATGTAGGCAAGTCTTGTTTCGCTGTTACGGCCCCAGCCACTTTTAGCAAATGTCTATTCAGTGCGTGGTAAGTAATCCTGAAGGCACAATAATGATCAGCTTTGTGACCAGAGTCAAACAACTGATGAGAGAACTGGGTTCTCTCTTCTTGCCTGATCTTAATTTAGGATTTATGGAATATGTTCTGCAATTCTTTTTCAAGCTGTCTCTCTATTCGACCAACGTAAGTCAACTGGCCCTTACATATAAATTGAGAACTGCAATTGGATTTAGTGTACCGATACAATGGTTCTTTAACAGGTGCATTAGGAATGGGAGTGGTTTTGTATCTAACCACTGGGACAGTGGCAGAAATGATTGACCGGAAGCTGTTGTTAGTCTGTCCTGCAGATGCTGCAGGATGGAGTCTGCTCGAAATATTAATTGGATAAATATTTGCAGTTTTGGAGCTGTAATTTCATTAGGGATTAAATAAGGTGGGATGCTGTGGTGTTTGATGAAGCCTGTCAGGTACCCATTTAGATATAAAGTTGCTTTGATGGTTCTGATTTCTGCTTCCAGTGTATCTTTGGCACAAATCTTTCTGGCACGGTTGAAGAACACTTCTTACTAGGCCACATTTATACTGAATTGGAACAAAGCTGTGAAAGTTCAAGCACTGGCTAGTCCATTTATCTCTCTGGTACACTGACTTTTGTACAGTGCAATCCTCTCTATGTTTAATTATAAGATCTAGGAATGATAAACAGTTTTCTTTTTTGTGTTGTAAAGATAACAATATCTTATTGTGTGTCTGGTTTGTGATGGTATGGAATACAGTTGCTTGCTGTTTGTCAGATATTATTAAAATGCTGCCTAAGCATCAGCGGTAAAGGACCAAATCATTTTTTATGTGTGGATCTGTTCTGATCAAAATGTGCCATGATGGATAGAGAACAGGTATTACATGGCTACTCTGACAATTTGTTGGTAAATCTTTTTAAGAAATTTAAATGCTGTATTGGCTTTGCACAAGCGTAACAGTCTCATCAGAGTAGATATTAGGATATTCAGTTTAAGTTTCTTATCTTTTATGGGCTCTCCTCGGAACTTCTACCCGATATTATGGCGGCCAAGCAAATAGCCTAACAGGGCCTCAGTCGTGTGTGAAATGCGGACTTTCTGCTAAGAAACAAATCGCGGCAAAACTAGGAATACTTAAAAATTTCAAGAGACTCAACACTGCAGACCATAGTACCAGACGATAATAGCGACCATTGACAATTTCGAGACATGCAACATTACAGACGATAATAGCCACATGGCGGGAATACCACGAGCTCCAACGCAGATTAGGGTAGTTGTTGTCCTTACACTTCTCAGCATGCGCAAAACACGGTTAAACTCACCGCCGACAGCATCCCCTGTGCCGCTATGCGCGGCGCGGATGAGGATCTAAACTAGATTCCTGGGACTCACGAACAAATAAATTAGAGGAAGTTGCAGGAGATGCGATAGCTGTTGCTCGCGAGTCCCAGCCATCTAGTTTAGCCCCCCCCCCCCCACCCCCATCCGCGCTGCCCGTAGCGGCGCGGGGGATACTGTCGGCGGTGTGGTATAGTCGCAGAAACAGGTCAGCAATTAGCATATCGCTGAGACCCTATTAGAGCATTTGTTTTGTTATTCGGTGCCGATCCTAGTTTTGACGCGATTTGTTCCTTGGTAGAAAGTCTGCATTTTACAAACGACTGAGGCCCTGTTAGGCTATTTGCTGGGCCGCCATAATATGGGGTAGAAGTTTGGAGGAGAGCCCTTTTATGCAAACAATTAGCTTGATAGTTTCCTCCGATGGCACATTGGTAAACAAAGATTTATGTCCATTGATGCCTTATGTTTTATTCTTAAATTCATGGTTTTGAGCAATTCAGTTAATTCAAAAGTATCTTTTACTGTTCTGTTTTCAAGCAATTGTTTTACTGGCCTTGGTACTTTAGCTAACTATTTTGCTAAGCGAAGTTGGATTGAGTTAATCATTGAGACAAGTGGCCTCAGAGGTGTTCCAGCCTAATGTAATTTGGGGAGTTTTTTCTGCCTTTCTAACTCCCAATGAAGCATAGGCCCTCAACCATATCACGTATGTCTATATGTTGGCTAATATGGAATGAATCCCATCAAGCTTCCATTCTCCAACACAGTCCTGGCTAGGCTCCATAGTACAGCATACACTTGCTGTCAGACTCTCGAGCTCACCACTTCAGTGCCTTGGTCGCTGGCTAACCCTCTCATCAGGGCTAGCAGTAAGAATTAATAGGCTTCATCTAACTTACTCAGCTTCACCTCCGTTGCTATACTCAGTAACAGGTACTTTTACATCGGCTGACAGGGAACCTCTACAATACTTAAGTTCCCCTAATTTGCACGCAGCAAATCAGCCACGTTGAGGAATTCTACAATGACTGGCAGGACTCCAAACTCTGAGTCCCATCAGCACCCAGCAGATAGCCGACATCTACCAGGGGTCATTTCCCATAAGTAAAATCGCTGTCTTGTTTCAGTAGTGAACATGACCGCCACATGCATCGTATATACCCAAGAAAAGCTTCCTTCAGAGGAAAACACAGCTCTCTCTGCTCGACTCTTCTTAACTCTGGACTGCTAGACTCAACTGTCCCCTCCAGTATACACATGTGTGCATTCTCTGTGATAACTGAGGCATCCACACTCATGCACGATTTTCCATCATACCTTCATGCCCCAGTCTTGCTGAATACGAACTAGGTATGACTATTTATCCAGGCCGGTTGACACCTCGTGCATCCACTGGTCAACTCCGGTCCTAAGTCAACACAGAGTCAACACCCTGGTCAACCAAGCCTGTACTAGAATTAACATAAACAATGTTGGTACCCCTGAATCGACACGCAATAGGGATGGGCCCTAGCATAGAAATATTTTTATTTTTATCACTATATTTCACCAGATTTGGCTAGGATCTGGGTGCCAGTTGCTAGACCTGTGCGGGCCACATTTGGCCATGGTATAAGATCTATATGTCTGTCACCGCAATAAAATCTTACTCTGGTGTTCAAACCATGCATTTATCTATTGTCTAGGTGTTCTATGCCCAGCAGGTATTAATGTTCAGCTTACCTTCATGCAAACAGTTTTACTATTGTTACTTTCTTTTTATTTTATAATATTTTATTCCATCTTGTATTATTCCTAATTATGGACATTAGCATTTCTATTCATACTACAATTATATATTATCTTTATTTCTTTCATGACTATTTTGGAGCCATTCTTTATTTTATTTTATTCATTCTGCATCACTCTCCCCCTCACTCCAGGCTCCCAATTTGTAAGGTTATTCACATGACCCCCTGGTGGGTACTTGTTGGAGTACTTTCTCCTTTGTTATTGTTGTGTGGTTCATGTTGAGTAAGGCCCTGGCCAAAATGTTAATTTGTCTTGTTGTGTGTTCATTGTTCCACTTCCCCTTTTGTGAAGCTTTTTAGTCACAACACAAATGGATTAATATCTCAGTTTTAGCTAGACAGCATTCAGTCTTGTTTTTTGCCACTTTATAAAAATACTAGCTGTGCCCTGCCACGCGTTGCTGTGGCCCCGAATGGTGAATTGGAAAAGAAAAAAAGTAGATCTCAAATAACAGTGTCTGTCATAACCCTCACCCCCCCCCCCTCCCTCCCCCCCCCCCCCCCCCTTCCCTCTCCCCTCCACCCAGTCATATCTCCCTCTCCGAAGGATTGAAAAATCATCCCTGGCGAAAGTAGTAAAATAGAAATAGTTAAGAAATTATAACTTTAAAATAATGTTTTAAGCTCTCTCAGTTAACAGTGTCTGGCATAAACCCCCCCCCCCCTCTCTCTCTTCCCCCACTTATCATATCATCCTCACCAAAGGATGGGAAAGTCATCATCTGGCGAAATATTGTACTAATTTGAGCTTGGCATCCGTGTCCACCCAGACAAAAATGGGTAGCATTAATCTGTACGAGAAGTAAATGTGGCCAGTGTAACAGCTACAACATCACCCATCGAGTACCAGTACTACTGCTACCACTACCACCACCACATTCACAACACACAACAACACAAAACGGTCACTACTGTCTGTACAGGTCGTTAAAGCCAGAGGAGTTGGCGCCGCATGCTGTCGCCACGGACTGTTTAGTTTAAGTGTGTCCCCGACATAAAATTCCGTGATAAAAAAAAAAAAAGTACACTATACTCACAAATAGCGGAAATAAAAACCCGCACTCTTCATATCTCCCTCTCCGAAGGGACGATGTTTAACTAACCTTGGCATCCGTGTCGACCCAAACCAAACTGGACCGTAAGAGTTCTTAGTTAACAGTTTCTGTCATCAACGAATAGTTGTTGATCGAGTGAAGCATCTGGGGGAGGCTAATTTGGACTGTACTGAAATCGGATGTCTTTGGGCGTAAGGCGTAGATGTCGCAGCTTAGCTGTAAACCACAACACAACGTGCCAATCGGCCCTTAAGAGAAAAAAGAAAAATTAGCACCCATCGGAGACTTTAGGTCAGATATCGCAGCCTAGCTGTAAACGACAACACAAGGTGCCAACCGCCATCTCAAGGGCGAACGAATATTACCTGTGACATGAACATTGAGCATCAAGTCGCCGCCATCGCAAGCTAGCTGTAAACCCTAAAACCGAACAGAAACAAGCGTAGATATTGCAGCCTAGCTATAAACCACAACAAAACGTGGCAGCAACCCAGTTAGCCTCCCCCCCCCCCCCCAAATTATATTACTCAGCGGGGAATCAAACCCCTATCACCCGAGTAAAATGAGAAATGCTCACAACTAACTACACTACTAAACACACAAGTATTTAGTAGAAATGAAAGTATATAGTAATAATGTGAAGTTCGGTATTACACAGTCAAAGGTGGTCAACTGATTAAAAATAAATCCGGGCGGGCAACGAAATAAATAATGTTTTGACCTTTGCTGGAGCTGTTTTATGATAAACAACTACGCTTTGAGTCAGAGGCAACGTTGTGTGCAAATTTGAAAGCAATCGGTTCAGTAGTTTCCGAGTTTAGAGCTAACGACATCGGAAAATTAAGATTTTTATTAATATAATAGATATTTAGTTAGTCTCAATACATAGAAAAGGGTAGTTTTATTTGTGCAACACACCATACCTTAAATAAATTTGGAAAGTAGTCTGTAAGAATATCAGTTGTATCAGTTAAATTCCTTATATTCATAAGGAGAAAGTCCAAAGTGTCATACATGGTTCCCTGATCTTTATAAAGTGTTGAAATAAGAGTCTGAAAATAATGCCTGAATGTTTCCTGTGGGTCATGGACAACAGAAGTACCTGAGAAGAAAACAAACAACATTCTAGACAATCATTTAGCATTTTAGTACAAAATATAAACAGTGTCAGTAATAAACATTCATTAAAGGCATTTACTTTATCAAATAAAACTGACCATGTTCATTGTTTCAGATCTGTTCTTTACACTCAAAACATAGCTTCTCCTTTTATGATGACTGCCCTTATTCAAAAATTTTTTTTGATAATAACGCTGTCAGTGCTTTTGTGTCATGCAAGCTTTCGTATACAGAATGAAACTGGGCAAATATAAATACTGCATCTGATATGACAGAATTTATTCAGTTACTTTATCATTATTTGTCATTTCAACTTTAGAGTATTATCAGAAGGACTTTTGAAATAAAACTATTTGTGCCTATATACCTTACCCGTATGGTTGGCACCTGTCTGCCTTTCCAGATGATAGTATTATATTGTGCTATGATGCAGCATGGGACTCATAGCCCACTGTGTGACTTGCAAGACCCGCCCACATACAGAAAAGTCTTCCACAATTATAGCATGGGATTTCATGACTGTTGTTGCTAACATTTGTGTTTAGTGTGTGTCTTCTAAGACGCTCTTCTCTCATCCTATGTGTAATCATTTCTTCTTTCATTTTCATTCCATTCCAGTTGTAACTTCTCCACACAACATGGTCCATTGCATTTTTTTACGAGTCCACCTCAATATCTGTATCATTTATGTCCTGCTTGCACACTTCTTTATATCCTAGTAGGCCTATAGGTCAGCCTCGACGTCTTCTGCCCATCTTTAATTCACCGTAGAGAATGTCCTTAGGGACTCTACCATCCTCCCTTCTCCAGGTGTGACCCAGCCACTAGAGCTTTTGTAGACTAAACATTAAGAAAACTTGTGTAATACTTGCTCTTTACACTACCTCAGTGTTTGTGATCTTGTCCTACCCCTTGAAGCCAAGCATTCTTCTTAAGCATCGCTTGTGAAAGCTATTTAGCCGATTCTCCTGGTGTCAATAAATTGACAAAATTTCACTGCCATAAAGCAGAGTGCTGAGAACACAAGCCTGACAGACAAGAGTCTTTGTTTTAATAGTAAGCTGTCTTTCTCCCAAGCTCTTTTTGTTAATCTGCTCACTGTTTTTGCTGCCCTACTTATCTTGATGTTGATTTTTTGGTCCAACGATAGGGTTCTTTCCTTGTTTCTGAGAAGTATTAACATTTTGCTGTCAATTAAGATTTGGAGTGGCTGTATATTTGCTTCAAACCAGTCCTTACTTCTATGTTCTCTAATCACACTGACTGTTGCATCTGTTGTGGAGTCTCCTTAATTGAACCCCATTTTAAGTTTGCTGTAGAGTTAACCTGGATTTCAGTGAAAGCATCTTCAAGCTGTTGTTGGAACTCAAAACAATTTTCAGGGTCTTTAGTTTTAGAAATATTTAACATGGGGATGTATTTGTTTCTTTACGGGAAAATTCTCTTTGGTTTCATCCAAACTCTTGTAGCAGCTAGGGAATGGCCAGTATCCCAGTCAGCACTGTAGTAGCTGCCAGTTAGTGACACATAGTTCAAATGTTGCCTCCTTGTGGTGCCAGTGGTCAAATCTTGGATGTTTTCCTGACACCTTATGGCTGTCTTTAGTGTAACATTCCAGTGGTCTTTGCCCACTTTCATTCATGTGACCAACATTATATTTTCCAAGGCAAACTAGCCGTGAGTTTGAGTCCAACCCCACATGAGCATTAAAATCACCAAGTATATGGATGCCATCAGATTTAGGAATTGATTTAACTGCATTATCCAGTTCCTCATAAAAAGAGTCCAATGCATCCTCCACTGATGTTTCAGTTGGTACATATGCAGTAACAAGATTGATAAAACCGCTTGAGGTAGAAAATCATAAGGATAATATTCTACCATTTCCTCCATTTGGACTCTCAGCTTATCCAACAGTGAATTCTTTACAGGAAATCCCCCTTCACACATCTGGATTTCTTCCTGGCCTCTGCCTTTTTAGAAGAATGTATAATTACTTTCCCTAACTGGCCCATCCTCTGGCAGATCTGTTTCCTTTAGGCCAGCAATATCTAAGTCAAGTTTACTGAGTCTGGCATTAATGATAGCTGTTTTTATTTCTTTTAATTTTTTTTACATCACTAATGTTTTTTGTCCCCTGAAAGTACTGGAGAGTTTTGGGAAATGCTATTCTGGTCTCAAGACTCAGTGAAGGAAAAAACCCCAACTGCACCTCCACGCGGTAGAGGACGGTAAGCACACTGCGGTGTGGCCAACGCAGCTTTGGGGACCGAGAATCCACCCGGGACTAGTGGACACCTCTGGGGTGCCCTCAGCTATTAGCAGTAGCATCACAGAGCAGGGCACTCACTTGCCCTAGCAATCGAAAAGGTTGCTGAAAGCTGATGACATGGTCTAAAGCCATGTGGATGTGGAAAGCAACGGGAAACTACCACATTACTATCCCAAGAAACTCATCATGGAAGCCAAAAATGAAACTCAAAGATCTGATGGTGAGGCCCCCAGGCCAGGCAGATCACAAACGCGAACTGGGGAAGAGAACGATGGCAGAGCAAGTAAGGGTAGTTGTGATGATGGCCTTAAGCTCGTCGGTACTACAACAGAAAACTCTGTCACCGCTCTAAGGAAAACTTTAAAGTTAGGAACACGGAATGTCAGGAGCATGTATCAGGGAAAACTTAGCAGTGTTGGCAGAGAATTAGAAAGGAATAAAATAGATATACTAGGAATTTCTGAACATAGTTGGGCGGGTCAAGGCCATTTTTTGACCCAAACAGGAGATACATTTGTTTATTCAGGAAAGGAAAAGAGTGGTTTGAGCGGGGTGGGTTTTCTGATGACAAGGAAAGTTTTTTCATCACTTCTTGGATATAATCCGATCAGCGACCGAATTCTAATTGTCAAACTCAAGTCAAGGAAAAGAAACATCACAATTATTCAAGTCTATGCCCCAACATCTGCATCAGAGGAAGATGAAATTCAAAACTTTTATGACAGTTCAGAAGAGACATTAGAAAGGGTACAAAAAAGAGATATTATAATCATCATGGGAGATTTTAATGCAAAAATTGGCCGAGGTAGAATAGAGGAAGAGGAAATATTCAGAGGCCCATTCGGCATAGGAGACGGAAACGAGAGTGGGAAGAGACTGATTGAATTCTGTATAGAAAAGAATATGTGTATTACCAACACACTATTTAAACAACACCCAAGAAGGCTCTACACCAGGACATCACCGGATGGAAATAGCAGGAACCAAATTGATTACATTTTAATACAACAAAAATGGAGGACATGTATAACATCTGCAAAGACCTTCCTGGAGCTGACTGTGACACTGATCACAAACTTCTTGTTGCAGATTTTAAAATAAAACTGAAAAAAAGTGTTGAAAGGGGCTAAGCCAATACGTTTTGATTTGAGTAATTTGCCAAATGATTACAGCATTGAGGTTGAAAACAAATTTGAGGCACTAATGGCAGTGCAGGAGGATATGACACCTGATGAGTTGGCTGGTGAAACAAGAAACATCATCATCCCAACAGCTCAGAACATGATTCCTAAAAACCACACAAGAAACAGATTTACATTACAGAAAAAAACTTTCAAGCTAATAGAAGAAAGAAGAAATTTAAAGCAAATTGGGACAGAAAAAAAATAGCCATGCATATAGGAACTACACAAAAGAAATCAGAAGAGCTATCAGAAGAGATAAAAAAAACAGTTTATTATAAATACCTGTAATAGAATTGAATAATTCCAGATGCAAGGAAGAGACAGAGACATGTTTAAAGAAATTAAAACATTGAAATGCAAATTCAGGCCTTCTTTACATGTAATAAGTGATAAAAACAGTAACACATTAACGGAAACCAAAGACATATTAGAAAGATGGAAAGAATACTGTAGAGAAATGTATGAGGATGTGACAGATAATTCAAAAACGACTTGTGAAAGTTATGAAAAAGAACCAGAGCCTTTACTGGATGAGGTACGATCAGCAACACATAGCCTGAAGAAAGGAAAGTCACCAGGTTGCGACGAAATACCAGCAGAACTAATTCAAGCAGGAGGAGAGGCCAGCGTCCGAATCTACCATGCACTGTGCTCGAAGATCTGGAACAGAGGCATTTGGCCTAAAGCGTGGAAAAGAACAGTCTATATCCCTCTCTCATTGAAAGGAAATCCAAAACTATGCTCCAACTACAGTACCATCGCATAAATAAGTCATGCTAGCAAAATCCTCTTACAATATGAACTAGATTAAGCACAAGCAGGTTTCAGACAGGGTAGAGGAACTAGGGATCACATATTTAATATAGGAATAATTTTTCAAAAATGCAGAGAATACAATGTAGATCTTCATGCTTGTTTTATTTATTATAGCAAGGCATTTGACTGTGTCCAGCACCCCCAACTGTGGACTATTTTGAAAAGTATGGGGTTTCCAGCGCATTTAGTGCATTTAATTGAAAATCTCTTTCATGAACAACAAGCAGCCATCCGAGCAGCTGGTGAAACATCTGTTTGGTTCAAGGTGCAAAAGGGGGTGAGGCAGGGGTGCATTCTCTCACCATAACTATTCAATATTTATGCAGAAAATATAATGAGAAATGTCAAAAATGACCAAACTTGTGACAGTTATGATCCTCTCAAAATTAGTGGCAACCCTATTCCGGAACTCCGCTACGCAGATGACACAGCTCTCCTTTCGAACAGCGTAAAGGGAATAGAAAATTTAATATTGTCCATCCAAAAGCACAGTGAAGATCAAAACCTGTTTTTGAATTTAAAGAAAACGAAAATAATGTCCACAAATAAAACTGGCTGTCACCCAAAAATAACAATAAATGATGAAGAAATTGAAAATGTCACAAACTTTGAATATCTAGGCTCTATAATAAACAACAATGGAGACTGTTCGACAGAAATTAAAAGGATGATGGCCATAGCAATGCAAAGATTGAACAGCCTTAAAAGTCT